TTCCAACTTCTTTATTCCTTTGGTCTTTACACTGAAGTGAAGCGGTCAACTGAAATGATTACGTTAAGAAATAGTCTAAGTATTGTTACGTTCACAGCCTGATCATAATTACAATTGCTCAATGCGCACGTGGTACATGTAATGAAACTTAACAGCACAAGAAACTAGCGACAATCTCAATGTAGAATTACAGACTAATAAACTATCAAACTAAATCAAGTGTAAATTATTTCTCACCAACGTTCGCGGGTAATCACGTTCCGAAAATTTCCTTTTTGATGTACAACTTTTCTTTGATCTTTCTCACAAGGGGTCTTAGATGAAACTGAAATGCGAGTTACATATATGCTTAGCTAAAAGCGTCACTAAAGTTACGTCAATCAAATCTGAAATAATTTCACAGCTTTACCGGAAGCTGTTACATAAAGTATTAACAAGAAGAAATATATTCCTGTTCCCCCACCCTTAGCGAATTACCATTGTTAAAGTCCTTATTTTTCGATAAAAAGTGAGTACCAGAATACTAGCCGGTTTCATTTTTTCTTGTTCAAAACTGACTGTCGGCATCGAAAATGTTACCCTTTCAAGAATAGCGTTGCGTTACTACCTTGATTCCGTGACTGTCATTTTGACGGCTGTATGTTATGTCACGTGCAATCACGGAACAGATTGTCACGCAGAGTCGCCGGCTGGTAGAGTTTTTTGGTTGAAAAAAGCAACTTTGCAATGGGAAAACTCACAAGAAGTAGGAAAAACGAGCCTTTAGGCTGTAAATATCTATTTTTGTGCGTTTCGAAATTAGAAGTGTTTACACAATTACCGCCGGCCTACAATGAAAATTCCTGAACTTCGATGGTGTCTTACAGAGATTTCCTTCAATAACCCAAGCCAATCCCCAGGTATGTTTTAAATGAATGTCTAAATGTGTGATTTAAATAGCACGAAGAGAATTTGGAGTTATACCACATGTTGAATATTGCTGTCGAAAATGAGTAACGAACTTAAGTTTTTGTCCTCCTGAAAACCTATCCCTCATTTTTTAATTATTTCAGTACGACGAGCTTCGCTATTGCCCTGAAAGTATCTTTTAGTGGAAGACGAAGAATTTTTCTCTTCATTGAAAGTGTCCAAATTTCTCCATGTGGCTTCGTTTGCGAACGCGAGGAAAGTTGAGGTTCTGAGACTCCGACATCTATAACCGATCTTCTAATTTTTCTCACAAATAAAAGGATTTTGGCAGGAACAATCTACATTAGCTTTCTTATCTACCTAGCAGCTATCTATGAACAAAAAATGAAAGGAATTGATTTTTCAACTCTTGCCACGAAATTAAGATTTTGGTCGATTTTTCCTGACCGTCGCTCTTAAGCGTCCTCAACATCATTTTCTTTTTCTTAAAAGGTCTGAACCTTTAAAATTTAGATAAACTGGAACAAGCAATGTTTGAAATCTTTGCATACTAACGTTATTTCACAACGGAAGACACAACATGGAGCTTATCAATAAAACTAGTTTGTAAATTGTGTTTGTCGGTACATATCGTTGCTGTTACATTTTAATTGTTAATTGAATGTTCTTTTCACGAGGATATATTTCCGCGGGTCTTTAATTTCGCGACTTTTTGCAATTGCGCAAAAAGCTAAATTAAGTACCAATAAGATAACTTTCTTCCATCTAAACACTGGGCTCTACTATCTGAACGCTGGAACAGACTAACTAGCTGTGAGGAGAAAACAAATCAATTAGTGATGTAACCGAAGCGTAAAATAAATGTTTATTTCACAGTGTTTTAAATTACCATAAGAGACAACAAATTCAAATAACACAATTTTCGTTATGAAAAAAAAGAAGACCGCGTGTCATCGCTTAGCATATTTTATGGATTACACTCGTCTTAGTAATAAATAAAACTTGAAGTAAAGTTTAATTGCCGAATACTAAAAGTTTGATTATCAAAAAGCAGAATTGGGCACTGTTTTCTGCAAATGCAGTGCAACTACGCTCTCCCCTTAGCCTTTAACGCCTGCTACGCTTGCTAGCTAACAGTTAAACTATTTTTTCTACGTCAACTAATAAACGATTAAATGATAGCTGAGCTGATAAACGAGACATCATGAACTTGAAAGCAATACGTTCAAAGAACCCACAAGATTGGGGTGAATTTAAACGACTTCGCAACAAAGTTAACAGTAACATCAAGATCAAAATCATTTACTGAACACAAAAATGACTCATGACGCACCTGGCAAACTATAAACGAACTTACATCTCTCAAAAGTAACACTACCGACTTGGCAAATGCGTTTAATGAACATTTTTCCACAATTGGCCCCGAAACTTGCAAACGAGATCTCGTAAACAGCTACCGGCCACAATAGTTGTCTTGAATATCTTAACATTACTGACCAAAAGATCACTGACCAAAAGTTCTGTTTTACTCCGACAAATGGCAGTCAAGTTTTTTCACTATTGAATAAACTTAGCAAATCAAAAGCACCGGTCTCGATAAGATATCTGCAAGACTAATTCGTCGTGAATGTGCTGATTTGATTTGCTTTTCTCAGTATTTTCAATTAGATCTTTAATTGTTCTTTGACTACAGGCATATTCCCAGATGACTGGAAATGTGCTGCTAAAGTTACTCATTTATTCAAACAGGGAAGTTCTAGAGATATGAGCAATTACCGTCCCATTTCTGTTATCTCTGTGGTGGCTAAGGTATTCGAAAGAATAACGTACGATCAAGTACGCGTACCTATCAGAACATAACATCATTTCAAAAAGTCAATCCGGATTTCGCTCTATCCATTCTACGGTCACTGCTCTACTAGAAGCTACTAGAGGCGACCGATAGCTGGGGTTTGATATTGATCGTGGAAACGTTAACGCTGTAGTATTTCTAGATTTAAAAACTGCCTCTGATACAGTAGACCACACGATATTACTGTCTAAATTAAGTGCCTACGGAATTCAAGAAAATGCTTACAAAAAACTCAAATATGTTCTGTTAGTGGTTCACTTTCCAAAACCTGCGCTCTCCAATGTGGTATCCCTCAAGAGACTATAATCCTCTATTGTTTTGCTATACATAAACGACTTACCATATTGCTGAACTAACTCTTATCCTAGAATGTATGCCGACGATAGGCATCTTACCTACGCTGATAAAGACGTGAATATCATTCAGTCCTGTTTGAATGAAGACTTGCTAAATATCAGCAAATGGCTGATCGCTAACAAATTCACACTTAATATGTCTAAAACTGAGTTTAAGCTAATCGGCTCGAGACAAAAGCTATACACGCTAAATGCCTCTACCGTTCTGAGCATCAATGGTACTCCCGTAAATCAGTCAAAATCTTTAGGTATACGCATTGATGCAAACCTTACCTGGGACAGTCATATCGAGAAGTTGGCTAAAAGAATTGTCTCTGGTATTGCAGCTATCAAACGGGTCAGGCAATTTGTTCCCCCAGCAACATTGCACCTTATCTACAAAGCCTTGACTCAGCCGCATTTAGACTATTGTAATGTTTTTTGGGGGAGACTATGGCATACAACTAGCAGACAAACTTCAAAAACTCCAAAATCGTGCAGCGTGAGCTCTAACTTTCTCAAGCTATGACGTAGATGTATTGCAGCTGTTCCAAAATTTGAATTGGAAAAATCTTAGTACTCAGCGTCATATCCAAAAAGCCTTAATGGTTTTTAAATCTCTTAATGATCGCCTTGCTCCTTAGTACCTAAGCTCGAAATTTATTGTTCGATTTAATACCACTCCATACACTTTTCGCGATTCTGTAAATAAATAACTTTTCCACAACCACACACAAATTATCTGCGCAATAGTTTTCACTACAGAGGTGCTGTTCTGTGGAATAGTCTTCTTGAACCTTTAAGGCAAGCAGAATCCCCAAGTAGATTTAAGTCACTTTTGCACACTCATTATAATATCAAGTAAAGCACTGCATGCATATGGAAAACAGTTGTTTTTTTCTTACATACTTAATTGAATAATTTTAATACTGTAATTAGCGGAACCCAGTAAATATAATTAAGGTTTTAAAATTTTTAAAATATTTCATGCCTGATGAATTTGTAACCGTGCATACATAAAGATTACCTTACGCATGATGTTATACACTTTTTATCTGAAATTGAGATTATACTTAGGGACTGAAACAGGGAAAGGTCCCTGCCTGAAACAAGGGTCTGGGTAAATTCCCTCAGTCGGTCGGTTCAGGTCTGAAATAGAAGAGAAAATCACATGTTATTTTCTGAAATAGGGTCAGGATTTAAGGAAGCAATTGCCAAACACCAGAATGTTTCATCGCGCCACTGGCGCTTTCATTCTTGAAATTCAACTGCAAGGCTATGTGCAAACGGACGCAACATTGTTGGCTAACAACTCCCAATACTGTTGGATGGTACATGTTGCGTCTGTTTTCACACTCTGTTGCATGTTTTTGCGTGTCGTTGGGAGTTGTTGCGCAAAGTTTGAAACCGGTAAGATTTTTTTACCCCGTGCAAACCGACGTAACGTTGTTTGGAGTGCATGTTGCGTCCGTTTGCACGTAGCTTGAGTGATTCTTTCAATACACGTTAAAAGTGAAATGCTTATTATTATTAGCAGGTACTAATACATTTGAATTAAAATTATTTTTTCTGAGCTGTTGACCTTGGTTACGGCCTGGCCACTAACGTTACAAAAGTTGGATTTATCTAATTATTTGGTTAGTTAGTTTGTTGGTTAGTTCGTTCGTTCTTTCGTTAGTTATATATCTATTCATATTTTTATTTCGTTTTAGCTCGTAGGCGAAAACTGACCGCATGTGAAGCCGAAAATTCAAACGAGCACGCTTCTTATATCCTCTGCAACATGTTTTTCAATCTATCGTCTGATGATTGAATTGTTACTGTTTTTATTTCAGCTGTTTTGCTTGTTGTGCGACAATTGAAAAAATGGTCAACTTCTCCAATTCACAAATCAGAAACCGGACATCTAAAAGACAAAGGTTAAAATTTTTGTTCCGCATACCTTGACACGTGATCAATGTTCTACCGAAGTTTAAAGGGAGGGCCTCACCTTTCATTGACTCGAAATTCAATGTCACGTCATCGCCAATCAGCACGAATGGCGCCCAATACTTCACGGCATTGAACTCTTCAGACTGGCGCATCCATTTCATGGCATGATGAAGAGACTTACTTGCACTTTCCCCTGCTACCAAATGTTCGTAAAAGTGCTTCATAAACTCCAGAGTGGCTTCGTCGCTAAGCGCCCACAGTGACGCAATAACAGAACGTGCACCGGCTCCTAAAAAGGCACGTGCAATTCCAACCACGCCTTCGGCCTTTATCTCCCCTCGTCCACTGTAACAGCAGCTTAAGACAACAAGCTTGGCTCGCAATTGTACATTCAATACATCTGTCATCGTCAAAAGGAAGTCTTCCTCTTTCGGTCTTACAGCATCAGCAAGATTAGGAGACAAAATAACTTCTCCATTTTCTTTACAACCATGAGCTGCAAGGTGCACTAAAGAAACTGAGTTAAGCCTTCTTAAAACTTGATCTTTTGTAGCATCCTTGCCGGTGAGAGGCTTGATATTAATAATCTGTCCAATCATTTTTGCTTCTTGCTCAGCACCCGGGAGCTGCGGGAACGGTTTGTTGTCTTTACTGCGCACAGTTTCCACCCACGGATTGCCAACAAGCAGTGCTCCAGATGCACTATGGTAGCCTTCCGGACACTCTTTCAGTAGCCGCAAGCTTGTTAATGATGGAGCTAGTCGAATTCTCAGCGTTTCAGACAAGTACCTGGAATGTTGGCCCACAAGGGCAGCGTAAGGAATCAAGAATGACAAACGGTCAGGGACAATAATGAGTTCATCACTTTTTATCAGGTGTGAAATTGGAGCGATAACCAGGTCATACAATGTTTTCAAAGCAGCACTCTCGTCGTCTTGCTCTGATGTCAAAGGCTTGCACCTCACACCAGTTCTTACACCAATCTTTTCGTATGTTTGGTAAATCAATGATGTCAGGTTACCATTTATTTTCTTTAGCATCATCTGGCACCGCTTTCCATTTAGAAGTAGCCAGAAACTCAAAAATGTCTCGTCTTCTGCTAGAAAAAGCGTAGGTGACGAAATAAGGCTTGAAATGGACATTTTCAGCTCCATGTCCTGTTCAGACGGCGACAAAATTGATTTTCTGACGTTATATTTTGATTTCATGAGATCCATGAGAGCTTGTGCTCGTCCCCCTTCAGCTGTGAAAAGCGCCTCTAGGATCTTGCCTTGTTGTAATTGAACTTGCCGTAATAAAGTAAAAGGTTTATTATATGTATCCCGAAACATGATTTTCCACACGTCTTTCCCTTGAAGAAGGGCCCTAATTTCCTCAAAAAGTTTTATTGAGGATTTACAAGACTCCTCGGCTTTAAAAAAGTCGCCATCACGAAATAAAAGCCGAGCGAGGTTGTAATAACAGGCTGCTGCAGAAACTTTGTTTCCAGTCTCTGTTAAGATATTTAGACCCGTCTGAAAAAACTCGATTGCTCTCCTCACATCACTGAGAGATTCATAGGCGTGGCCAAGGTTGGTATATACACTTCCTTCAAAATTTCTGTTTCCAGTCTCTATTGCTATATGTAGACTCAGCTGAAAAAAGTCGATTGCTTTCCTGAAATCACCGAGAGAACCACGGACGACGCCGAGGTTGTTATATACTTCGATCTTCAAATTTTTGTTTCCAGTCTCTACTGCAATAGGTAAACTCAGGTAATAAAACTCGTCTGCTTTCCTGAAATCACCGAGAGAGCCATAGGCCACGCCAAGGTTGTTATATACTTTTCCCTTCAAATCTTTGATTCCAGTCTCTATTGCGATAGATAGACTCCGCTGAAAAGACTCGATTGCTTTCATGGAATCACCGAGAGAGAGATAGACCTTGCCAAGGCTGTTATATACTGTTCCCTTCAAATCCTTGTCTCCAGTCTCTACCGCGATAGGTAGACTCAGCTGATAAAACTCGATTGCTTTCCTGAACTCACCGAGAGAGTTATAGGCACCGCCAAGGTTGTTATATACTGTGCCCTTCAAACCTTTCTTTCCAGTCTCTATTGCGATAGGTAGAGTTAGCTGATGAAACTCGATTGCTCTCCTGAACTCACCGAGAGACTCATAGGCACAACCAAGGTTGTTATACACGTTGCCCTTCAGATCTTTGTTTCCAGTCTCTATTGCGATAGGTAGACTTAGCTGATAAAACTCTATTGCTTTCCTGAACTCACTGAGACGGCGATAGGCACCGCCAAGGTTGTAATATACTGTGCCCTTCAAACCTTTGTCTCCAGTCTCTATTGCGATAGGTAAACTTAGCTGATAAAACTCGATTGCTCTCCTAAACTCACCGAGAGACTCATAGGCACAACCAAGGTTGCTATACACGTTGCCCTTCAGATCTTTGTTTCCAGTCTCTATTGCGATAGGTAGACTTAGCTGACAAAACTCGATTGCTTTCCTGAACTCACTGAGACGGCGATAGGCACCGCCAAGGTTGTTATATACTGTGCCCTTCAAACCTTTGTCTCCAGTCTCTATTGCGATAGGTAAACTTAGCTGATAAAACTCGATTGCTCTCCTAAACTCACCGAGAGACGCATAGGCACAGCCAAGGTTGCAATACACTCTGCCCTTCAGATCTTTGTTTCCAGTCTCTATTGCGATAGGTAGACTTAGCTGATAAAACTCTATTGCTTTCCTGAACTCACTGAGACGGCGATAGGCACCGCCAAGGTTGAAATATACTGTGCCCTTCAAATCTTTGTTTCCAGTCTCTGTTGTGATAGGTAGACTTAACTGATAAAACTCGATTGCTCTCCTAAACTCCCCGAGAGAGTCATAGGCAAAGCTAAGGTTGTTATATATTTTGCCCTTTATATCTTTGTTTCCAGTCTCTATTACGATAGGTAGACTTAACTGATAAAACTCGACTGCTTTCCTGAACTCACTGAGACGATCATAGGCATTGCCAAGGTTGTAATATACTGTGCCCTTCAAATCTTTGTTTCCAGTCTCTATTGCGATAGGTAGACTCAGCTGATAAAACTCGATTGCTTTCCTCAAATCACCGAGAGAGTGATAGGTGCCGCCAAGGATGTTATATACAGTTCCTGTAAATTCTTTGTTTCCGCTTTGTTTGGCTTCATTCAATGCTAACTGGAAGTAATCTCGCGCTCTTTTGAAGTTACCGTGTTTGAGAGTTTTAATTCCCATGTCATAGTGTTTGCATCTTCCGCATTGCTGACAACAGTAAGCAATCATTCTCTTAAAAAGAAGACAATAATGGCCAAGATTTGTTATTTTAATATTTATATTTACACCTTATCCACAGCTTTTTGAGTGATCAGTAAAATCATTTGAGGTCAAGGTTTTGGTAACTACTACCACGTACGCTTTGCTTATCGGGACCGAACGAATGTATTAAGTAGTGAGGAAATTAGCCTCAGAAAAGCTTGCGATCCAATATTTATTTTCTACGTCGTAAGGAAATCAATTTAACACAATAATTATGTGATAGGTGAGCAGTGAAATTCAGTGTCATTTAAGGCATTACACAGGCTGTTTAAGTCCAAGTAAAAACAACAAATGTTTTTCGTCCGAATTTCTATAAAGAAAAAAAGCAAACAAAGAGAGGAAGAGAGGCTAGCCTGAGAGCGGGCGGACTCTTGTTTTTTTTTCTTTTTTTTTTTATTTCCAACTTTTTTGTTATTTTCCAGTTGAATGCCTTCTGTACAAGCTATTACCCTTCCCAGTCCCACAAATTTGATTGATTTTGATACTTGTTTCAAGCAACAACGTGATGCGTCTTACGATATATCTCAACGGTTAGGGTGCATTGAAAACGTTAATAGGATTCAGCATTTCATAACTGTTTCGTTTATGAAAGTAACGCCTGTTTCGCGGGATTGTGGAATAACATCGGTGTTGAAAGTAACTCTTAGTGTTGTTTTTTCTTTCCAACGTTGTCAAAGAACAATAAAAAAAAACGAGGGCCGGCTCTCCGGAAATGAAGCGGACGTGAACGAGAAACATTCGTTTGTTTGTTTGTTTGTTTTCACTTGGCTTAAAAACTGCAGTAAAATTGCGCTTAGTATTACAGTCGAACCACCCCTTATGGACTCAATTTATTATATAAAGGACATATTTAATCATGGAAAGTTCTCTTCATGGCTTCATGGTCCGGCTAAAGATTGAAAATGGTACACAATTTCTACCTCGACAATCAGACTGAAATTTGGCTTTGTCTTTTCGCTGTCGTTAGCACCGAGGTCTGAATATTAAAACAGTCGATAGTATAAGATCCTGCCACAATAAACGACAAGATAAAAGTAATTTTTTTCTCAGTGAAGAAACATCGGGGGAAGGGACGCTTAAAATTGTAGAAAGGGGAAATTTTAACGTACAAAAATTCGAATTTGACGTGAAAAATTGATACAAAATGACCAGCCTGTGCTTTTATGTTTTAATACAGTATATGACAAAAAGGCAATATTATTGAAATAATATAAGATACCTCGTTGTCCATGGATCTTGTTAGAGCTATTTCCTTTAGTTCCAGCAAAGTGGTGTTTGCAGAGTCAATCTTTTTTAATTGTTAAGGTGTAAAAGTGTTTAAAGTAAGTGCCCATCAAGTACTGATTTCAAGAGAAAATAATTACACAGGGACGGAGTTTAGGGGCGATGGCCAAGATATGTTAAGGCTATGTTTAAGAAGAAACAGAAAGCAAACTATGGAGATAAATAGAAGAAAATATAAACGCTTTTCTGGAAAAAAAATGAAACTTATAACTTCACGTTTCGTATGTTCCAACATATATCTTTGGAAGTAATTAAACGTTGAATAAAAACAGAAATTTAAACGGAGAATAAGTAACTAATTAAAGAAACAACAGATGTCATATGGTTAGAAAATTTGCGTATCAAAAAAGCCTGCCAGGAGCTCCTACGTCAACCTAGTAATATGCATGAATCGCATTTCCGTAGGGAGCCTAAAAATTTAATTCCCGCAGAAAATAATAATAGCAGATGAAAAAGTATTTGAAACAACAATTAAGAAAGCTTATGACTTTTCAAACAAAATCCACTTTTCATGTTTTAGCTGAGCGCAGTCATGCCTTAAAATCTATTGAATCCTCGTTCCAAAATAGATCTCAAGCCTACTTCACTTCAGCACAGGTAACACAGGCTCTGTGATAGTACCACAGTTGTTGTTGTTCGTCCTTCGGAGTCGAAGATGACCGTGACATCCTCAGCTTTTCCTGGAGTTCGCTTTGGGCGTCTGGAGGTGGCAGATGAGGCCCATCCGGGCGTGGAACCCTCTCCCTCAAGTTGGACACATGTGAATTAGGGTGGTTTGCTGGTTGCTTGTAGCTCTGGCCTTACGCGTCTCACGTGCCTTTCCTGCGCCGCCAGTTCTGTTGTCTTCGGCTACATGGGCTCCGCTATGAATGAGGTTGCGCCAGGTTGGACGGTCGGCAGCAAGGTTCTCCCAGGTCTAAGTGTCTATTGAGAAATCTATCAGAGAGACCTTAAGGCTGTCCTCGAATCGCTTGCGCTGGCCACAAACAGAGCGCTTGCCTTGGAAGAGCTACCCGTAGAGCAGCTGCTTCGGGATTCAAACATTAGGCATGCGAGTGACATAACCTGCCCATGATACTGGGCATGTTGGTTTTCTGCAGAACCTCAGTGTTGGAGATTTTGTGCTGCCACCGGGTGTTGAGGAGTGTCCAGAGGCATCGTAGGTGGAAGTGGTTCAGCCGCTTTTCGTGATGTCTGCAGGCAGTCCAGGTCTCGCAGCCGTACAGGAGGGTGGTGAGCAATACTGCTCTGTAAACTTTGAGTTTGGTGGCAAGGCGAATTCCTCTTCTCTCACAAAATGTCTTCCTGAGCCGCCCAAACGCACTGCTGGCTTTGGACATTATGTTGTATGAGAGGGTGATGCCAAGGCAAGTGGAATTTTCAACAGCCTGGAGTTTCTGAACTTTGACTGTGATGATGGGGTCCTGGTATGGGTTGCTGGGAGCTGGCTAAAACATCACTTCAGTATTTTTTGATGCTAATTGTGATGCTGATTGTGAGACTGTCGTCCACAAAGTCCCTGGTTGCAGTCTCCTTCACTTTTGTGACGTCCTGCAGAAGTCTCAGGTTGAACAACTTCCCGTCTGGCGTATGTCTGATCCTGACGCCAGCGTCGCAATCTCTGAATGCATCTGTTAGCATAGTAGAGAACATCAAGCTGAACAGTGTCGGGGCAAGGACACAGCCTTGCTTTACGTTGGAGACTGTGAAGGATTCTGACGGCTCATCATCATCAAGGACTAGGGTTTGCATGCCCTCGTGGAACTGGCGAACGATGGTGATGAGTTTGTGGGGGCAGCCAAACTTGCTCATGATTTTCCACAATCTGTCTCTGCTGACTGTGTCGAAGGCCTTGGAGAGATCCACAAAGGTGGTGTAGAGGTCGCAGTGCTGTTCCATACACTTTTCGTGAAGCTGGCGGGCGGCAAATATCATGTCGATCGTTCCTTCACCTTCTCGGAAGCCGCACTGGCTCTCAGGGAGGATACCTTGCCCCAGATGTTGGAGGAGGCGGTTGAGCAGCACGCGGGCTAAAACCTTGCTGGGAATGGAGAGAAGAGAGATATCGCGATGATTGTCGCAGGAATGCCGGTTTCCTTTGCGCTTGTAGATGTTGACGATTGTCGATTCTCTGAACTCTTGAGGTAGTTGCTCTTTGTGCAAGAAGGGCTGAAAGAGGTGGATGATCTCATCAAGCAGGACAGGCCACCAGCCTTGTACTCATCGGCAGGGATTGCATCCGATTCTGGGGCCTTCTCGGTGGACATTTCCCTGAGGGCTTTCACCACTTCTTCAGTCGTTGGGGGAGAGTCGAGTTCCAGGTTTACCGGCTTGTGGAAGGCGTTGAATGGCTGCGTCGTTGATTGTAGAGGGGCGGTTGAGCACACTGTCAAAGTGTTCGGCCCATCTCTCCAGGATCTGTTTCTTCTCAGTAAGCAGGGTTGTTCGATCAGGCCTAAGGACGAAGGAAGACCCGGAGGATTGAGGTCAGTACGTAGACAGCGTTAAGGGCATTGTAAAGCCGCTTGGTGTCGTGCCAGTCTGCATAGCCCTGAGTCTCGTCTGCTTTGACACTGAGCCAGGTGTCCTGCAACGAGCGGAGCTTTGTCTGTATCTGGCTGCGCAGGTTGATGAAGACAGCCTGCTCTGCTGGGCAGGAGGGGTCGCTCCGGTGGGCTCGAATTAGTCGACGCTTTTCCTCCAGTAATACATGGATTCTTCCAACCAGTCCTGGTGGTCGGACGTCGAGGGCAGTATAGTGGACCGTGTCCCTAAAGGAGGCCAACACTTCTTCAATGTCATTAGAGGGGGTGGGGAGGTTGGAGAGTTTTCTGTTCATGACTGACTGAAGATCATTTACAATCTCCGTGTTTTTCAGTTTTGTCACATTCATTCGATTGGTGACCTTCTGTCCTTGAGGCCTTCTCTTCGGCTGAATATGGAGGTCGAGTTTGGAGATTATGAGGCAGTGATCAGTCCAGCAGTCAGCGTCTCGCATCGCCTTTGTCACCCTCACATCCCGCCTGCCTCTTGCCCTGATAATGACGTGGTGACTAAGATACCAATGCTTAGATCGAGGGTGCATCCAAGACGTACTGTTAGGGGTCGTTAAACGGAACATGGTGTTGGTGATGGAAAGGTCACGTGAGGGGCAGGTGCGGAACAAAAGAAGACCGTTACTGTTGCAATTTCCTACTCTATGCCTCCCAATGGCTCTCTCCCAGACAGGTGGTCACGGCTGACACGAGCATTGAAGTCGCCAAGGACAATGAGCTTTTCATGGCGACTTTAAAGGGGATGGTAGAGAGGAAAGTGTCATGACTTGCGCGTTACTTGGATTAAAGTGAGGGAGATTTGCGCAGAGTCAGTCTCACTCTCTGGTCCTGACGGTCGAGTCCAGTGGCAAGACAGAGTCAAGACGGCTGGGGACGAGCAAGGATGCAGGAGCTACCGGAAGGTGACAAGTATGCCATTCGACCGCCTTAGGGGCTCCACTCCGGATGTTTGATCGGTGTTTACTCCCCCAGAGGAATTTCCTACCAGGGATCAGGAGCTTCCCCCTGCCCCCTGTCTATCCTCTCACAGCTTTTGGGAAGGCAGACACCCTTCCCTTCCACCTAATCGAAGGATAGACGGGATATGCAGCGGGTGGTACTGGGTTACATTTTAAGTACCACAGTACAAATCCAGTAAAATTACAGTGTTTGTATTGGGTGAAAATACGATTCTAAAATTTGTAAGAAAAAATTCAATGAAACTTTCTCTGTGGTTAGTTGTTGTTGTCCTTAAAGATCAAACGAAGTCTCCTGATAATTCGCTCAAATTCACCAATGAAGCTTTCCCAGCGAGAGAAACGAATCCAGCAGACTTTGACAAACTCGAAGGATATGATTCAAAACCATCTTACGCCGAGGTGGCCTACTAGCTGGGAAAGCTTCATTGGTTTCTATATCTGATACTGTCCTATTTTACGATCCTAGCATGTTTATTTGACTTTGCAGTTCGAATTTCGTGGAAAACGTTCTGTTGGAAAGTGAGCAAGGCGGCCGAGATACCCTCTCGTGCCTCCTACCTTGTTTATTATAATGTATCGAGGGTGAATTTCAGCAAATTATCCCGAACATTTGTTTGAGTATTCAGGACAGAAACAACTAACTGCAGAGTAAGTTTCATTGTCCTTTGTTGTATTTCCTAAAAATTTTAGGATCGTTATTTTACCCAATACAAACACTGTAATATTACTGGAACGGTATTGTGGTACTATCACAGAGCCAAGGTTACCTGTGACTTCAGGTGCACTTCAAGTGCACTTTGGTCCCTAGTGTGAAGCCAACAATTCGAGGCCTAGCTCAAGAACATTCTTCCGGCGTCGATTTTCTTTTTCTTGAGATAAGCGAGTCTTTGGACTATAGCGCAATGTCCTGTAATTCATCCTTTGGTAATTACTTTTGTTCTGGCTTTTTTTTAAAAATAAACGGTTTAAGGGTCTTCCAGTCTATTCACTATTTTCACATAGACCATAATGCACCTTGTCTACCCTCCGCAAAACTGCAGTTTTAGAACCAAAGCGTTCCTCGTCAGTTGTTACTTTGGTTGAACAGCGGCTTTGAGAATTCAAATTGCGATTACGTCACCTCCCAAGATGATAGCTTCTGATGCTTTCTTCTCTTTGCTCCGTATCTAATGTTTCTGTTTTCGGGAAAAGTGACAAACATTCATGCAGTGCTTCAACGATCATCATCTTGTCAACGGTTTCTATTATTGACAATTTGTTGCCAACGCTTCAAGCATCAGCCAATCCAATTTTTGCGTTGTAAGGCCAATGCATAATTCATTTGCTAAGGCTCATTCGTGGTCGTGCAGGGGCAGCAAAGAAACGTACGAAAAAGCGTGCAGCACGTGCAAAATTTGTTGTTTTGCTTAGGCCGCGTCCAAGCCGCGCCGACAGGAATCAGGATATTTTTGAAACGGCATATTTTAAGAATAATCTATCTCCGTCGCCATCGACTCTGAAAATCGCCTCTTCTTTTCTTTCTTTCTTTTCTTCCGTTTTTGGTTTGTTTTATTTCGTTTGTTTTTTCCACAAGTAACATTTTGAGCGAGTTCTGTACAGTGCCGAAAAGGATCCCAAAAATGGACCACAAATGATCCCGAAAGGAAAATCAGAATGGCTTCGACTCAACTGGATCATCGTGTCTTGTTTATTATCACAACGAAAATTATTAAAAGGATTGATTAAATGGAATAAATATGGCTTTACAAGGAACTTTTCTTTTTAAAAAAATGTAACTCTGTGGTAAACGTAATACTTAACTTCTCTAATCTCTCTAATGACCACGGCAACGGCAACAGGCGAGAACGGCAAAAAAGCAGTAGGTTTACACTATACCGGATAGCTCTTGCGCCGACACGAAAATTATACCGTTTAATGCTTCTTTTCACACCCAAGAACTATAATATCGGCGCGATTTCTGTAACGGGCCGGAGGGAAACTGCGCCACGCCGATCTCGAAAGTGGAGCGCCACGTATCGAATAGGTTCTGTGCCACACTTTGATGTAATGTGAACAGGTACACGAACCGTAGCGGAAGTTAATAAGTAGGAGCGAGGACTGGAACCCAATGAGGCGGAAGTAAATATTCAGGAGTGAGGATTGAAATTTAGAGCACCAACCCTCTCGGCTAACCGCTCCGGCACAAGTGTTGGGTGTGAACGACCTGTTCTAGGCCCAGCCCGTTGCTATTCACACTATACCGGATAGCTTTTGGGTATAGAAATTAGATGCCGTCACACTAGCAATTTTTGCCATTGGCAAATAGCTGTTACCCAGTGGGGAAGCAACTTTTGTGTGTGATCGATTTTCCCAAGGCCGAGGTGGAATTGCCTCAGGGAAATTTCCATGGATACGTAAAAAAGAACAAAAGAATTACCCATGACAGTTCCCGATGGACGTTCTAGAGACCTATTCGGTTAACTCAATGTTGTACCCAAATCAAATCTCCTGGGGTTAAGATTCTTTGTTTACTGTATTTGCACTATAATGTGGCATTCACATTTAAATGATATGGAAATTCCTGAAACAAAACGTTTTATTCCCAAAAGGTTTGAATCGGGTGCAACATTGAGTTAGCCGTATTGGTCTGTGGGTTGATAAAAACCTAAAGCGGCTCAGCCAATCACGAGAAAGTGAAATGTACCAAGCAGTAAAAATCACGTGTTGTTTAGGTGCTGAGTTCGTCCTTATGCCAAATACTACGCGAAAACTGAACTCAAAGTTCGAATATTCAGCGCGATTTTTAGCACTGCTGTGAATGTTTTTCAGGTTTTTACGTTAAATAAGTTCAAAAGTACTTTGAAACATTCGCAAGTTTTCTCTAAATCAGTGTTTAACAATTCTTTTTTATGAAGTTAATTTGCAACCAGTTAAGTAAACTCGTACTTTAGACTTATGAGCGAGAATTTAAGCTAGAATTTTCTTTTCTTTTAACCTGTTTAAGCTCGAATGAAGTCATCTCCTTCCTTTTCAGCCTCAAACTTAAGGGCTGAGTCGCTCTTGCGAAGGTTAACTGATGTTACGGTTTTACTAAAAGGGTAAAAATGGTCCAAACCGCTTACGATTTATGTCAGCCTTCAATGATTACAACAACGTTTCCCGCGAAACTGGGTTCAAGTTTTTTTTCTTCCCCTTGGGCATTTTATCGTTCTGTGACCGCAGACATGAAAGTGGTCAAAACCCAGAGCGAACCCATCCCAAGCTATTTCCCCATGAGCAGCCCTGGGGAAGACATCTAGTGTGACCACACCTATTGCATTAATAAGCAAAACAACAACTTTGCATGTGCGTCGAGCTTTTTTGTACATTTCTTTGCCGTCGTTGCACGACTACCTTCTAAACTTCCTAATTTCACGTGTTATGGAGACAGATATCCTCAAGGCTGGAGCAATTGCAGAAAGCTCCGAAATCGAATCAAAAATAAAGTGGAAACCACTAAGGCATCCTGTTATCACAATAGTTTTATTCAATCCAAAGGAAATGCTCCAAGGACTTGGAAAACTATTAACAACCTCATGTCTCGTCGTCAGAACCAGATAGTAAAGGATGTGAAAGTAAATGACATCTCTATCTGTAACACCAAGGAGATTTCAAACGCCTTGAACGAACACTTTTCAACTATTGGGCCCAGACTAGCCCCCGAAATACATTTAACTTCTGACGAGGAGTCTATTCATTTAAACAAATTCCTGAAAACTACAACAAATTCTGTTTTCGTCCAACTACTACCAGTGATGTCTTTACCCATCTAAAGAGATTGTCAAAAACTGAAGCTACGGGGCTAGATAATATCTCTGCTAGGATGATTCGTGAGAGTGCTGACATTATTTCAGACCCGTTATGCGATCTGTTTAATAAATCTCTGTTGTCTGGCATATTTCCTGACGAATGGAAATGTGCCAGAGTGACTCCGTTGTTTAAACAGGGCGAGTCATTTGATTTAAACAACTACGCCGACCAATCTCAGTCATTTCCGTAGTCGCAAAAGTGTTCCAGAGGATTGTGTACGATCAGTTATACAACTTCTTAAATAGTGAAGGATTTTTAGGTTTTAGGATGTTAGTCATTGTATTGGAATTTATAATTGTACCTGATGAATTTTTTTACCGTGTATAAATAATGATTAAATAATTTAAAAGATAGAGTGAGTACAAAGCATGATAATATTAATTATCCCGTTTTTATTTTAATGCTAGTGGAGCCGAGCAAATGCCTGAAACAAATAATTCAAATCAAACTTATCAGGGTTAAGAATCCCAACTGGCCAGAGGCACCCAGCTGGCTATTTACAAGCATGGCCGAGAATTTGAACTCGGTACTATCTTGAACAAATCCAGCTAGTTGTCAGAGTGGGACCTGAACTCGGGGCCTCCGTATTGCAAGTCCAGCGCTCTGACCACTCGGGCACGCTGCCTGACCTCTCAGTTTTAAGTGACGTTTTCATTGCCTTCGCTAGGCCTTTCCAGATTCTGCTTGACAACTTTTTGGCAACTTTTAGGATTTTGAGCAACTTTTTTGTCAGAGAGCAACTTCTAGCAACTTTTCGGAAAACTAGCACTTTTTTGGTA